TACCCCTTTCTCTCACTCTTTTCTGCCCCTCCATACTTAGGTGTAGCAGTTAAGTGTCTACTTTAAAGATCTACGGTTCCTATGTCCCACACGATGGTACTGAAGCCATGGTTTCATGGTACTCTTTATAGAATCTTCTAAAAATTAGTATAGATGCCCTTCTCTAAATTGTTTGAAATATAAACAGGAAATACAATGAGCTGTTAACAAGTAACTTTATCTTACATATTTATCAATTGACAAGTGGATGGATCTGGATAGATCTCTTAGGAAGATTTTTCTTATCTTCATTTCTAGAATGCGGGTGACATTTGAGAGGTGTTGTCTTGAATAGTTTTGAGGAAATAAACTATAATATCTATTGGCCTTCTAATTTATTGTTCAAACCAGAATATTTTGGGAGTGAAAGGTGGCATTATTAATAAGTATGCCTGGCCAATAGGTGCAAACTAGGACTATGCCAGGCCAACAGGTATATATTGTCACCTTATGTAGACAGTAATAAGTACATAGGCATGGTAGAACTGTGCCTCAAAAATATGGGGAAAGGGACACTTCTACCAAAAAAAAAGTGAAATTCAAAATCATAATTGTGGAAACTCAAATCTGGATCAGCAAAAGAGGTAATCTTTCTACGTATACTTCTTTCTCATTTAAATTTAGTCAATGGAGTTCATTCTTGAAAATAAAGTGATAGCACTAGAACTGAAAAAAAAAAAGAAAATGATACTAATAAAGGAAAATAGATTGGACTAAATGTGCCTATGGAGATGTCATAAAACGTTTTAGTTCTGTTTAAAAATCTAAGTTAGGGGTTGGTAACTTTTTGCTGTACAGGGCCATACAGTGAGTCACTCTGGCTTTGTGGGCCACATGGTCTGTGTTGTAACTGCTCTGCCGCTGGAGGATGAGAGTAGCGGCAGATTCCATGTAAAGGAAAGGGCATGGCTGTGTTCCAACAGATCCTTTTTCCCCCAGGTTTAAAAAAGTTTTTTATTGGATTTATTGGGGTGACATTGGTTAATAAGATCATATAGGTTTCATATCATCTGTATATTGCATTGTGAGTTCACATCCAAAGTTGTTTCTTTCTGTCACTATTTATCTCCGCTTTCTCCACTTCTGCCTTTCCCCATTCCCCTTTTCCTCTGGCAATCACCATATTGTTGTATGTGTTTGTTTGTTTGTTTGTTTGTTTTGCTTAATCCCTTCACCTTTTTAACCCAGTCCTCCAGCCCCCGCCCCTTTGAGAGCTGTCAGTCTGTTCTATGTATCTATGAGTCTGTTTCTATTATGTTTATTAGTTTATTTTGTTCATTAGATTCTACATAAGTGAGATCATATGGTACTTGTCTTTCCCTCACTGGCTTATTTTACTTAGGCTAATTGTCTCCATATTCATCCATGTTGTCACAAAAGGCAAAATTTCCTTCTTTCCGTGTTTTATTTTTTTTACAGTCAAGTAGCATTCCATTGTGTAAATGTACCACGGCTTTTTTATCTGCTCATCTACTGATGAGCACTTGGGCTGCTTCCAAATATTGGCCATTGTAAATAACACTGCAATGAGAAATCTTATTTACAAAACAGATAGGGATGGGGGCATAGATTTGGTGTATTAACTGTTGTTTGCCCACCTCTGACCTAGTTGTCTGTTTTAGTATTTAGAAACTCTGTTCTGCTAGGAGAAAAGTTATTTTAGATATTAATTCTGATGTCTCCTGGTCTGCTGTGACAAGTTGGGGCCATGTCTCTTGGAACCAATGGAAACGTGCAATGGGCCTTACTATTTAATGCACATTTTTGTTGTGCATGTTCCAGCTGTTCAAGGGATGTGTTGAGGTGGATGAGAGAGGTGAACACCCAGGAATACTTTGAACAGGGAATGGCAGCCAAGTGGATTTCACTGAGCATTTTAGAAGGCAGGCCACAGGGAGGCAGACACAGGGAATAGAGGCCGTGGTGATTCAGTTTTTCTGACAAATGGTTTAGAAATTAAGTCCAACAAATGCTAGCAAAACTGAAAGCACCTGAGGAAAATGAAGTCTTGGGTCTCTGCCTATACTTGGAAAAAAAAGTGACTCAAAATTATGGTAAATGATATTTAAAAACTCACTTTAAACTAGTTTTGTACTAGTGTAGAGTTGGAATCATGTTTTGTTAATAAAAAAAGTTTTAGGATAAAATGTTCCTTAGGGATTTATATTCCAATTTTTATAAAGTTATGTTTAAAATGTTTCTCTTTAGGCATAAAGTGCACACTAACAACTCAGGCAAACCAAAACAAGAACAGAAATGAAAATTAAATGGAATGCACATTAAGTAGTAGGAGATAACGACATATATGACTCACTATGTGACTGTATATACCACAGATATCCACATCCCTTCTGCTACCTGGTGACAAGCTGTTTAATTGCAGACTAAGTTAGGAAATTGTGGAGAGTGACCATAGTAATATTATTGGTTCTAGTCTCACGAACACAGTATTCAGGGCATTAGACAATAAAATGGTTAATACCATAGAAAGGAAAAATCTCAGAGGGCTCCAGTCTTATCTGAGCTGTTCAGCTACATGTAAGGGGTGATTGACATTTATAATTATTCAATATGATCTGTTTGAGGGAACCCTTTCATCTAATTGTTAAGTTAACAGTAGTCACTGGGAACTCAGTAACTGTAAAGACAAGGTCCTTTAGGATCTTGAAATCTCTTTAGGGATGTGTTTTATACACTGAGGGAGAAAAAAATTGAGGCCATATATAAAGCAAAATACAATAAAAGGAAATTAACATTTTTTGCATACATTACTGATAAAGAGACATGAGCGAAAGAGTTATTCAGAGTGGAGCACTGAGCAGAGGAGAAAGGGAATTTCAGGATGGATAGACAACACTGTCCCTTGGCGGGCAGAGGGACATGAGCAGGACAGGTGGGGCGCGTGAGGGCCGCGGCAGAGAGCCTCCTGGGCTCGGGGGGGAGGCTGGGGTTGTGCCTAGGCTCTAGCTAGGTACGTTCTGAAAGATCTACAGCAGAGAGGTGGCCAGATGGCACCTGCTTGTACATGATGTCTTATATGATGAATAACAGTGAGATATTATCTGCATTGATTTTCTGGTTACATTTGCTATAGTTTTCCAGTTTTTTTCAATGTACAAAAGTAAAAATGTAAAAAAAATAGTAAAAAATGTAAAAAAAAAAAAACCCAGGTTACGGAAACCTATGATGTAGAAGTGAAATATTCCATAATCCCATCGACAAACGTAACCGCCATTAGCAATTACTTAATAACACTAAGATAAATAAATAAAAAAGGATTTTTATCATTTGGAAGCTTGTAACTGTAAAAAGAAATAGCTCCTATTTTTTAAATTTGCTTATACCTTACATTACGAAATATGATATAATATCTCATCCATTGAAAGAGGCTTTTTGGTTGTTTTCTCTCTCTGACGTTCAGTATGTGATGCCATTGAGAATTTTGGTCTGTGTAAGACAGTGAACTGGACCCCTCGCTCTTTCCCACTATATTCCTGGGGCATGCAAACTCATACAGTTAAGCAGGGTTGTCCAAAGTTTTGGTGTCTCTGCACCACACTGGAAGAAGAGTTGTCTTGGGCTACATATTAAATACATTGTAACATGTAATCACACACACAAAAATCTCATGTTTTAAGTACATTTATGATTTGGTGTTGGGCCGCATTCATAGCCACCCTGGGCTGCATGTGGCCCAGGGGCCACAGTTTGGACACCCGGGGAGACTATTGAAGGGCTAACTCCCAGGAGTAGCCAGAACAGCCCATTCAGGGTCACAGGAGAAGCAAGGAGGAACTGGCGAGCTCCCCACAGGCTGTGTTCAATGTTGCATTGGTCAGTGACTCAGTTCTTTCAAATGTGGGGTCTGCGTTGGGGAGGTTGTCTCTAGTGTGGAAAGAGTTACTCTAAGTCCCTGTGTCCCTGAAAGGACTGAGAAAACAGATATTGCACATTGATATGGGAGGTTAACAAGCCCGTAATACAAATATGGTCATCTCCTGTTGGCCTTTTGAGGATCTAAGGATCAGAAACAGCCAGTTCTAATTTCTCCTAGTAACTTCCAGGGGTCGAGGTAAATCAAATTACCTCTTTAGCTCGAACTTGTTTATGCCAAAGGAAAGTAATACCCTGTGGATGCAGCCCAGCGCTTTGAAATTCATACATTGGAAGTGATATAAGACCCAAACACTGAGAACTTTGGAGCAAACTGTGAGATTTACCCACTTTATACCCCCACCCCCAAGTGCAAAGTGAAGGAAGATTATGGTAGGAGATATGAAATCAGGAGGGGTGACTGGCCAGTGGTTTGGATTTCCAAAAGGAATTTGAGAATAAGAGAATTACGAACCAGACATTGAACAAAATTCCAAATGAGGAATGATATATGAAGGGGAAAGGTAGAAATAAATGAACTTTCGAGGTAGTGAGAATGGAGGAAATAGCAAGCTCAGACTAAAAGGACCTTCTGTGGTGGAGAGGTTTTTTGTTTTTTTGTTTTTTGTTTTTTCCCCAGGAATGCAAGAACAGACTTGGGGATTTAAGTTAGACAAAGAAGGGAGAATTCACTTAATGGGTAGATTACTAAGGGTGGCTCTTGAATAGGTTTCTCTGTGGGGTTTTAAAAATAAAATAGAATTTTTCTAGTCTAATGACTGAAGGTGAAGAGAATGTGCTGGATAATGAAAACAAGAGTCTCCTTGTATAGGGCTTCAGTTTTAAGATTTATGGTTTTAAAACTGACATGATCTCATTTGACCCCCCTCCCCCAACCAATCTCTGAGAGGGCAGGGCCAGAATTACCTCACTAGTGAGGAAATCTAAAGACAAAGGGTTAAGTTCCACTTGGGAGGGGAGAGATGGAGGAAGGAAGGCAGACCTCGGAGGGTTTTGAAGTTCAGAGGGAAGTGAGACTTTTTTTTAAGAAAACGTTTGTTCCTTTCCAGGTACACTTGATTACTCACTGTTAAGTAGGCGGAAGTCAATGAATGGGTAGGAGCCGCGGCGTTCTGCAGGAACCCCCGTCTGACCTCTTAGTCGTACATCTCCTGGAAAACAGAAGATCCAAACAAATGTTTGAAAACGTTGCCAAGTGTATTCGCTTTTCCTCTCTGAATCCTCTTTCCCACTTATGTCACTGGCACCAACACCAAATATCAGGAGAAAAACGATTTCCATTCACCTTCCTTAAGAAAGTGCCATGTAGGAGCATCATGAACTTGGCAAAACTCGAAGAAATGAAGCAGCATTCTTTCTTTTATTTGCCTGAACGATGGGCCTGGGAAAATTTTAGTAATTAAAAAGTTTCCAGAGGCCTGTCTATACTTCTAAGGGCCATAAAGATGAAGCATCTAAATCTGGAAGGACAAATGGTGTACTGGGATTACAGCTTTTATTCTTATTAGAACTTTAATCAGCACAGTGTCATTTCTCCTAGATCTACCGTGATTGTTTTCTGACTGGTGTCCACTTTCCTTCTTCCCCAGGCTTATCATTGATCTGCTTCAGAATCCATGCAGACGAAGGCCAGCCTACCTCCAGGTACCCCAGACACTTGGTCTTCCTTGGACATAGTCTGTAGAGCTTTTACTACTTATTTGTAGGTTTATTTTAATGTCTGTGTTCATTTTCCTTCTTGGTGTGTGACTTGTCTTCCAGCTCCAGGGAGGCAATGAAGTACCATTGAGAGAGCCTGGACTTTAGAATAATGTAGACCTTGGACAGCAGGTCCTGAGCTTCAGTTGCCTCACCTCAAGGTGTTGTTGGTTGGAGAATATAAAATAACATAAGATGCCTGGCAATAAGTTCTGGATTTACTTCCTCCTATACTCCAGCAAAGCAGGGAGCATGCATTTAACATATTTTGCATTTCTTGAGAGTACTTTGTGTGTTGTCTGGTACTTAACAGATTCTAAGTGAATGTCCTCTGTGGACACAAATAAATAGAAAGACAAAATTCCCAGTTAGTACATACAACATGAAATCAGAAAATAGGTAAAAATATGTAAGAGCTAATGTATTTCTGGAACACTTGAATCAGGAAAGGTTTCTTTCATGAGTAATGGGTCTGCTGCAGACACGAGGGGACCCTGGGACCTAAGCCTGTGAACAGGGAGAAGGAACAAGTCTTTTTTCTAACTCCTGGGTTAACCGGGACCAGGGAGAGAACCTCACTGGTAGTAACCCATGCAATCGGCAGGGTTTAAAGCATCCCTCGTAGATGGGCCTTGTGTGGACCTGGGTTTATAAACTGCAAGTGCTGAGCCCTTGGGCTATTCTTAACTTGGAATTTTACATTGATGCCTTATTTAGTGTTTGGTATCATCTGATATTGTAGTGGTTTATTGATATTAAAGAATGTTACAACTTATGGAGTATAGTGAAGTGGGAAGAGTTGGAAAAGTACATTTAAAATATGAATATAATATGGCATCAAAACCAGGAACACTGTTAGCATTTGATAGGTTTCTAGTGGGTGGATGATAGATAGAGGAAAGCCACTGGGAGGAGCTGAAGAGTTTACCTCTCTCATCAACAGTTGCTTTGAGTACCCTCTGTATATAAATCTCTAAAGAGTTTACAAAGCATATTTACAAATCTTACAATATATTTATTTTCTTGTTTACCTCATTAGATCCTCACAATAGCCCTGTGAAAAGAGTCACTATTATTCTACTTACTTTATAGGTGAGGAAAGAGAGGCTCAGAGAAGAGATGGAAAGACTACTATTCAGCCTCCCAGCCCTGGCTCAGGGCTCGGGTCCCTTAAAGGCACTCAGTAGATGTCTATTGACTTTAATTGATGGCCTGAGTTTATGGTGTTTTAAACTTATAATTAGCAGAGCTAGTCCTTAAATCTAGGTTGTTAAACTTCATAGGCCGAGCTCTCTCCTCAATACCATTGGTTTCTAACCTTATAAAGTATGCACAGATGGTTTTTAAAATGAAAACAAAAATCACAGACTGCACACAGTAGAAGATGTACTTTTCATAGCCAATGAGATAGTACAGCATGTTAAGATGATACAACATATTCAGCACTGCCCTTAAGTGAATTTATATTTTATAAATGACAGTTCGTTAGACATATACTTGAAAAACTGCACAGATGAGAGCATGCTAATTTGGTTTACAAAGCCTGCCGGGCTTGTGGATTTGCTGGCCTGTTGTGCCATCCTTTTGGGCTTCTGGCTCACCCACTGGGAGTCATTTCTCCACTAGTATTTTGGAGTTCCTCCTGGCTTTGTAGTCCTGCGGGCGCTATGGTCCCAGAAAATTTCTGTATAATATCAATGTAGGGTTTAAAGCTCCTGCCAGAATTTATTCCATTTGCCCATCTGAGATTATGAGGCAGAGGAAGCCCATTGTCATGTAAGATTTTTGATTTAGAGAAGCTGAGAGGAGGCAGCACTTAATGGCAGAATGGAGAACAAGAGAGTGACGTGTTAGGGGTCAGGGAACTCCTGTTACTGGGCGGATCAGTATTTCACCATCTTGGGTGACCTTGGGGAAATTAATAACCATTTTGAGACCCAGTTTTCTAATATTTAGATTAGCATAATTATAGCAGTTTTGCCAGCTCTGAGGGCTTGCTGTGAGGAAATTATAAAGTGCATGAAAATAATGTACTAGTTAACTTTTATTGAACATTTACACTGCACCCAGCATTTTACAGGCATTTTCTCCTATCATTTACCCAACAGTCCAATGTGATAGGTTTTATTACTAGACTGTTTTACAGGGGAGGACACTGAAGCTGATGGGAGTTTGATAATTCATCTGAGATCACAGAGCTAGTAAGTGTGGAGCTTGAGCTCAAATGCAGTATTGGCTCCAAACTCCAAGTTCTTACCCATTCTTCTATAGTATCAGGATTAAAAAAAAAATTATACAACCAGTTAAGCGTTAACTTTTTATTACCCAAATGTATTCTTTGGTTGCTATTTGCCAATAAACCAAATATATATTCACATGATTCCTGGAAACTGACTATCAGGAGAATCTACCCCCTTGATGAATATGAGATTCAATCAGATAGATGCTGTTTATTCAAATAGAAGTCCAGTAGACATGGGCTTTAGAATAAGACAGATCCTGTTCTGGATCAACAAGGCATCTATTATTTTCAAATAAGAAATGGAAGGTAATTATTAAAACTATTATTCAGCAAAACTGAAACTACTTGGTAACTAATTTACTCAAGCTCTTAATTAAGTAGAATTTTCTTGATGCAACATCAATTTTGGGAAAAAGAGACAAATAACAACAAGGCAAGTTGATAGCAAAGATATCTAAATAAACAAACAAAACAAAACAAATAAATAGCAGCAATAACTACAAAACGCATTGCTAAGAGTTCCCTTTCCGTGCTTATTCTCTCTATAACTACAATTACAGCCTTGAAGCAAATTACTCATAAACCTAATAATGGCCTTTAGATGTAGTAAATAGTTGTTTTAGAAAAGGATTAAATCATGTTAAAAAATAGTAAAGTAGGAGGCAGGACAATTTTCAGTGGGCTAACGATGCATTTTAGAAATTTCCCAAGAAACCAAACATTCCATATCCCCGGCATTCTATCTAATTGAAGTTCCAATATGGTAATTTATGTTTTAAGCATATATTTATAATATAGAAATATCTTACTCCTTCTCCTTGTTCCTGATACTAAATTGCTTCAATATGCTTGTGGGAAGAGAGAAATAATTCAGTAACAACAGTCCCTGGAGGAGCAGAGGCCACTGGCTAATGTCCGAAGAACAGAACAAGTGGCGTCCTGCTGAACTGCTTTTACTGGCTGTGGTGTTAGGCAATCATCTATTTACCTAAGGCCTTATATCCAAGCTAAACAATTATTTTGACTATTCATTAGGCCCTTCTTTAACTTCAGCAACTTTCTTTCTGGCAAATGAAAGGTGCTGTGGAAGCAGGGTAGGAAGCGTTGACAGCTCAGTCGTGTCCTTAGTCTGTTCTTATTGTGTTCCAAAATGAAACAAACAGCAGGGGAATTCTTATTTTGAAAGGGCTGCTTCTCATTTGCCCCTTCAGGCTGAAAACATAACATGTCGTCCTTGAGTATTTAAGGCTGCAAACACAGGCAGAGAGCTGAACATCTTGGCTCCAGGAGCCAAGACCTGGAGACAGCCACTCACCCTCCCAGGGGACGTGGTTCCGGGATGGACCTCTTGCCCACTTGGCCTCTCGGGCTGTCTCTGTTTAATAAACGCTTGTGCGAGGGAGCAGACGTTATGTGGCCTCTTATGTAACTGGCAGAGAGCATGGAGACTCTGATGGTGATGACAACTTACAGTGGCTGAAACACGGGCCACATGACAAGAACCAGACGTTGGTCCCAATCGTGGTGCCAAGGTCACTTCAGGGTGGGGAAGGGGGATAGGAAAGGGACAGAGCCGTAGCTTCTATGCTCCTATTGCATCCGAGATGAAGGGAGAGGATAATGGTAATGGCCGCAGAGACCAGGGCTTAGATGTTCATAGTGGGGATGTCATGAGGAAGAGGAGATGGTGGTAGTGAGAGAAAGATGCAGCCCTGGCACAGCCCACATATTGTGGGAGGGAAGAGGCTCTCACGAAAGGTATCCCTTTGAGCGTCTTAGACATCGCTAATACATGTCACTGCTGCAAGCTTGCAAAAGGAAGGCAAGCGAGAACCCAGATCCTCAAATCTCAGACAAGAGCTTTCACCATGCTGCACTGCCTCGGCCGGCAGCTTTGAACATTTCTGATGACTACTCTCAATTAGCAAAGTGAATTATTTCTCCTGAGATGTTTATCTAGTCTAACAAAGAGGAGGAAGTTTGTGCAATTTAATCACTCTTTAGATTTATGGGATAGCACAGGCAGCCAGTTGAGATAACTCAGCCAGAGATGACTGTTCCGGGTGCTATGAGCTCACATGAGATCCAGGATGGTTGATTAGAACCAAATTCCTCATCTGGAGGTTTAAATCTGCTGTACTTTCTCGGGTGAGTCTGGGCCTGTCTGGTCACTAAGGGCTACGTGCTGAGCTGGCTGAGTGGGAGGCTTCC